AAAGTAATTACAAAGGATATTGCTGGCTATGAAATTCCATTACGCTATAATATATAAAAAGTGGAACATTCGGAAACAAAATGAGGCTAAATAGCATCATAAATCTTTTAATTGAAGCTGCATTAGTTTCGGTATAATCGGTTTATACCTACCGATTAAGTATTAAAGTCACAACATGATTGCAGGTTTCTTTAATACGTACAAAACTCTGTATCAAAAATGTATCGAAAATAAATGCATTGAATTTCTCGTTATAAAAAGTGATTCAATTTAAACGAGTGCAAAATTGACAGGTTAATAACCCGTACGAAGCGTACAATGCGTTACGAGTGTTACTAATTACAAGCTTGGTAATTGTACGATCGAAGTTAATTTACTGCGGAAATTTCGTATAAATTCCTATTAATATAGTAGCCGTAACGAATCATTTATCAATTCTCAAGTTCTTAAAGTCTAATAAATAATCTGATAAAAGACTTGTTTCGTCCATGTTATGTGGCTAAAATTGTATATCTTAAGCGAACAAAATAATATCTAATTGAACATCTTTTAAAATATAATAAAATGATTAAATAAAGTTTCTGAACTTTGTATATTCAAAAAGGTTCCAGTTTCTATTATCAATTGACTTATGTGTAACTTAAGTCAATTTTAATATGTCAGAAATATAAATATCGAATAAAAATATTTGCATCTGCAGGTATTCTATTTAATAGAAATAATAAATAAATGATAAGAATGAATCAAACAATATTGTTGTCTCAAAGCATATTACACGTTTTTGAACTTAATGTCTGGTATTAAAATTTTGCAAAATATTTTAACCTTTATTTTTGAATAATATTAATAAATGTAAATTTCATTTCCAGTTTCGTGAATAATATTACAATATTTTATCTGTCGATAAATGTAACGTACGGTCTTCATGCCACGAATGTTAATAACCAGTGTTTCTGTTTAATTACATCAATCAATCAAAAATGTTTTACATTATACTTTATAACGTTTTCCTCGTTAATCGCATAACTTAAAGATGAACTTCGTATTGCTGAAAGAAAAATGAAATCAATTAGAGAAACTGATCTGACAACATAATCACTAGAACAAAAATATTGGTGGCAATTATTTTTTATTTATTGGTTCATGAACCACCGTAACTGCAACGATTATTAGTGGTGGTAAATCACACGGAAAATTCATAAGGATAAACGAATCGTGAGAAGATTATTATATAGAAAATGTGCGTTGGAACAAATAGTACAATATATATAAATTCAATGGGTGTACAAATGAATAATTCAAATTTCTGTAGTGAAACTAAGTTGCTTTAAAAAAAAATACCGCAAGTTTTATCAAAAGTTCAATCAACGTATTTATCGTTGCTTTCTATGACTTTAAGCCATCTATTAGGTAAATGATGATTCCATCACGAAAAAATGTGGTATCTTCTTTGTATAAGATCCAATATTGATCTTCATCCTTTGGACAACGCTAGACTGCACAATGTTTATGTGACAAAAGACATCGTGTCCAGGATGGAACGTCTTGCAGTATCCAATTTATTCACTAGGCATTGCTCACACGGATTATTATCTATTTCGATCGATGAAACACGCCTTATCCAATTAGTGGATGAGATACAAAAATGACTTGACAATTGGATCTTGTCTAAGGACGCATTTTTCCGTGATGGAATTCGTCGCTTATCCGATAGACGCCTTAAACTTATAGAAAGCAACGGCGAATACTTAGAGCAACCTGCTGTATTTTTTTTTTTTTTTAATAGACTCCGAGTTTTACTGAAGAATTTTGATTATTCGTTTGCACAACTACTATACGAAAAACAATAGGAGTATTTGTATTTACGAAACATAATGTAACATATACTTTGTTCGTATTTATTCATAGCGATCTTTGATACATTATTATTCATAACATTAGCAATATCTCTAAATATCATTGTCAATTCCAACGATAATATTAGTGGTAGATTCTAATTAATATTTGCGCGATTCTGATAACACCTGCGCGAAGAATAAAAAAGAATCTAGACAGCAACACCTCAGGAGAAGCTGTTTCCTTAATACGTTAATGATATCAACTTGTGAAAACTACGTCGGATGCGAACCTTAATTAATATTAAACTATTTACAGCTTTTAACGTCATAATACCGTCGCCGATCCCTTTTGAATATTTATACCGGTAAAATTGGCGAATTTTTCCGCGATCTCGTAACTGCGGTTGCACTGGAAAACGCGCTGCGAGCCATCGTAGACCGGGCTTAATAAAAAAATACGCCAGCGAAGCAGCATAAAAATTTTATAGTCTTCGATGGCGGTCTTCCAGGCGCAAACGGAGAGACGTAAAATGCGTAATGACGCTGAGAAATCGAATAGAACGGGGAAAAGGGCTGTTAGCCGCGAGCAAATCGATTCTGCGGTAAAGCGACAATTATACGAGTCGATGCGAGTAATGGACTGTTTCCGTTAATCGTGCAAATAGTATTTCCTCCGTTCCTTTCTTTTAGTTGTCGTTACAGAAAATGTTATTCATTGTAATTGAGTCGTTCTTGCTAGCCATGTGAAAGATGATTTTATCCTGCAAATTGGAAATTAGAAAATAAGGTTGAATTACGATTCAGTCTTTTGTGACGTTAATTTTCATTTAACAATAATAATAGATCCTTCAGGATCTCGTAGGTTCTCTGTGGATTCTAAGAGACAAGAAAGTTGATAAATAGGTAAATAAATCAATCACGTTACCAACGTTACAGGTTACTTATGAAATTTTATGTTCTTGTATTATTGTCTGTGCAAATTTTTTTTCTAGAAAAAAATATCTTTTTGTATATAAATATCTTTTGTATATAAAACGTGAAAGATATATTTATATGTAATATTTCATACCGTAACTTCCTTTGCAATTGTACTAATGTTACGAACAGTTTCTAGTCTCTTACTACGCCTGATTAAATGTTGTACGTAGAAAACATACATCGTAAACTGGTACTAAGAAAAACACTCGAGTTTAGTTAGCACCAGGTCCCGAGTTTTGATTTATAGTTGTGCTTTTTTCGAATAAAAACATTGACAAAAGACCGATCGTGTCGTAGGATGCTATCTTTAAATCAACATTTACTCACAATCGTATTTTTGATCATTAAATTTCTAAAAGTCTTACACGCGATGATATTGACCATTTCGTATGCAACCAGTTGAAAAATAAAAGTTTGACGTTTATCGGAAACGTATGTGTCAAGTTGCACGTAAAGTAAGCACTTATATACGTACATACGTACATATACACGTACGTAGAATAAACATATGCATAGCTGTCGTGCCACAGCGGTGCTGGTACCTCGAGGAGGTCCTGTCAAAAGGCAGCTGTCACGTCTCTTTCCGGCTGTAGCCCCGAGGAAAGACTGTCCATGGGGTCCACAGGCAACACAGTCATAGATGGTGGTATTTTTTGAAAACATCGACAAAACGAAGTCTTTATAATTATCACACGCCAAAGATACTCAGGGCCAAAATGATTATTGAAATTGAAGTTCTGCCTAGTTGTATGGAAAAATTATTATACAATATATCGATAATTGTCGCGTACGTGAACAGAGACTTCCCCTTCTTAAGATCTTAAGAATTGTATTAAAGTAAAATGTACTGAATTGTATTAAAGTAATAATATTATAATCTTCGAAAGGATAATGAAATAAAATATATGAAAGATTTATATCTTTGCAAATTTTAATCTCATTAGTGTATGATAAAATTTAATCTTAAATGTAATCTTTATGCTGCGAGCTTGCCCGAATATTAATTATAGCGCAGTTTATAATAATCGTATTAAAATTTCAAAGCGATTATAGTAATTTACGAAACTTCGTTGATTCTTATTTCCATTATCTGTCCGTTTAGTTTTCGTCTCCGGCTGTATATTAATTATGAAATAACGAGATTGATTTAAATAACGACACAGACAAAAATTCAAAAATATCTTTGATGGGGAAGTCATTTTTCAAAACTCCGATCAGAGGAATAAATACGGTCGAATTAAAAAGATGAATTTTCAACGAAAACAATTTCATATTCACGTTGACCATTTCGTGATACAGCATGGAACAATATATTGTAGAATATGCAGAAACATGGATATACTATCGTAAACATCTGTTACTAAATAATCTACGAACAGCGTCATTACCAGCCAGAGTTTGCAGGATTTGTTAATCGACAACCGTGTCTGTTAATGATGTCGTGGCTATAAACCGAAAGGATTTCAGTTGATTTCTGCGTAAACTGACTATGTATTCGTATCGACAGCGGCGAAAATCCGCAGACGACGAATATCTGTTTGATTTCGTGCTATTTATCATCGGTTAACTGCACGCGGCGACACTAATGCGAAGCAATAATGTGGCATCGAATTACAAACGTTTGCCAAACGACGTAATTGATTGCCCATCCTTTGATAACAAATCCGTTTTGAATTTGCTAGTGAAAATCACAATTTCCTGATCGCACATGTCTAAACGCTCTTTACACCGGAATAACATTCAGGACGATCGTCATTAAGTTCCTTCTTTCTCCCATTTCTAAAGCTGGATTTCTCATGGATTTGTTTCTGAAAAAAAATTACTGAATTTCCTTCTTTAAACAGCTGTTACTATTTTATGTTATTTTTTATAATTTCATCTTTGCTTCCGAGCTATGTAATTGCTAAAACGTTTGAATCGTTAAAATTGTTAAATCGTTAAAAACGTCAAATATACGTGTACAATGTCTAAACTAAATATTTTTGCTTGTTTGAGTGATTATTATTTATTTTAATAAAAAAATCAAGTGAAATTTCACACATAACAGCCTCATAATAGCCTCTTTGTCAATAAAAATTACAAATTTTCCTCTTGAAATTCGAAGTACAACTGGAATGAGATATTACAGCGAAAAATCATTTTATCGGTCGTACTTTAAACGTGATATTTTTCTTTTGATTGCAGCGCAATGCGGGTGCTCCTCTCGAAACTTCCGAGACCATGGATAGTTGACGAGAAAAAGGACGATGGTTACACGGCCCTTCATCTGGCTGCTCTGAACAATCACGTCGAAGTTGCTGAACAGCTGGCACGTGCTGGAAAAGCTGACCTGGATTTGCAAAACGTCAATTTGCAAACCGCGTTGCATCTCGCTGTCGAGCGACAGCACACGCAAATCGTTCGTGTACGTTTATTTCATCGTCAAAAAGAAATCCTCACTTCTGATCCGATGCTGCACAAACGATTCACTGAACATTTCCGATGTTCCAATTCCTTTCGAAAACACATTCCGAACATTAATCTCAATTCCACCCATGAAAAATCGAAGTATCTTTCTCAATAAAAGACTTTTCTTGTTCGATCTGACATGACTTTGTTAAACGATGATTTACTGTCTAATGTACAATGATGAACAAAAGTATTGACACAGATCGGATTTTTCCGTAGAATCCTCTATAAATCTTCAGTATACGTGATACTTTATCAAATTTTTTGTATAAAATATAAATTTCAAGTCTAAGGTTTAAGTGTATCATAATTCGCCATCGTTAAGCAGCTCTATTTAACAAACAACGAAAGTTACATGACGAACGATGTTCTTAACGACACATGGAATTTTAATTATTGTTATATCGATACAAGAATAGATCCTAGAACAATTTTAGAACTCACATAGATAAGAAGATAATTTAGCGGCGAGACATAGGGAATCGGAGCAATGTTAGAATTCGATCGAACAATTCGAGATACGCCAGTTCATACGTAATTAAAATGTTCTTAAACCGACACGGATTAATTTCGCCACGGGTTAGTTCGATAATTAAACGGGACTCGTAAATCCTGTTGTAGCTGCTGGTACGCGAAGGCGCCAATTTAAACGTAGCAGACAAGGACGGTGACACGCCTCTTCACGAAGCCTTGAGATATCACACTTTGACGCAGCTGCGACAGCTGCAGGATGTCCAGGACGTAGGGCGGCTCCTGATGGGCCTGGGCGCGCAAGGACAGGACAAGAAAAGTAGCTCGTTCATTGCTTGCTTCCTGGCTGCCCATGGGGCTGACTTGGAATTGAAGAACAAGAAGGGACAGACTCCGCTCGACCTCTGCCCAGATCCAAATCTCTGCAAAACGCTAACTACTTGCCACAAGGACAGAGAATCGTTAGTAATTACAATCTACCTCATCCCGCAGTCACATAAGCGAAACGTCGCAATTCATTGAGAAGTTTCAAATGCGGGTGTACAAAATTAAAGTTCATACTACGATAGAGCCTTCCGTATTCGATAGAGAGACGAATGTTCGGATAATAATGAAACTTTCGAGTAATAGGACAATCACTCTTTTGACATTGAATTTCAGTTGTTCGAATAGAAATCGAAAAAATTTCAAGTACTTTTTTATAGCTTTCTCCAATGGTTGTTTTAAGTCTTTATCCTATTTTTTTTTTTTTTAATTATTTATTTCGACCATAAATTATAAACTAGAGTCGCAATATCATCTTTTTGTTTTAATGATAAGACTGCTTTTGAGTAAAAATATTTGCACGTCAAGAAATACATATCTATAACATTTTATCAATTATAATATCTATATAAAAAGTTAATAAATATTTCATTAGAATTTAGATACGGAAGTGTCTGATTTATAAGAAGAAATACTTAAACACAAGGGTATTATTAATTTCTTCTATAGAAAAAAAAAATGTCTTTTGTTATATACATGTGCACACAATAAAATAGTTTGCAGAATGAGAAGACGTTCGAGAAAACAAGGTAATCTACATTTACTCGGATGACACGCGACTGTTTGGCACGTGGCATTCTGTAATTACGACCGCTTAATATGCATTCTGGTCAAAGGAAATAAGATTATATCTTACTGAAGCGTGCAAATACACGTCTGTAGCCGAGTAATCTCTATATTTTCGAAGCATAAACTTCCCTATGCAGCATGAAACTTCTCATATAACCGATATTACGCTTAATCAAATCTTATGAACACGTTCAATTTACACTTCTAATTTTTCTATCTTTTTCTGTACGCGACAAGGAATAATTTGATCCTTTAGAAAAGAATTTTGAGAAGTATTGCTTCCTTTATATTATTTTTATCGTGAGATTGTAATAAACATGTCTACGTATTATTGCAAAAAACGCGTTTTGTATTAGATGTATTCGGAAATATACCAAATCAGGCTCAACATCCAAGATGTGTCAATTTGGCTAAAAATCATAAATAATCCGATAAATTATAACGAGGTACTTTTAAAACAAATTTTATCTTCGTGCATTCACTATGCGTAATTATTGCTCTCAGGGACAACATCGAACCGGCAGCTCCATCAGCCACGATCGACGAGTGTTTGGTCTGTTCAGATGGAAAACGTGAAATGCTTTTCAGCCCTTGCGGACATGTAGCTTGTTGTAACGCTTGCGCGCCAAGAGTGAAGAAATGCCTGATCTGCAGAGAAAATGTCCTTTCGAGAACAAAAGTAAAATACTATCTTGATAATTTTTAAAATTCGTATTGATAGAACGTTGACCGTAATTCGCCGATAACGATTCCGCGATGATGATAGGAAATAAATTTTATTTCCTCTAGGAATTTATTTCTAAAACTTATTTCTGATAAAAAATTTGCGAAATTATCCATACATTCGTGAACAATATTTTAATACTTTTGATTAGAAGGAAAAACAAAGAAAGTGAATTACCTGCTTTGAAAACAAATTAAACGTATTTGCAGATCGAGGAGTGCGTGGTTTGCTCGGATCGTAAAGCTAACGTACTATTTCGTCCGTGTGGACATATGTGTGCTTGCGAAAGCTGCGCTGCCCTGATGAAAAAATGCGTTCAATGCAGAGCTCAAATTCAGCACATGTTACCGTTGTCGATCTGTTGCGGTAGAGGAGGCGATGTCACTTACGTTAAAGCGACCAATGCTTCAGGTATGAAATTAATAAATAATATGTATTAATAATAAATGAAATAGATCCGATAGAAGAAATATACTAAAAGCGTAAAAATTATTTATGCATATAAATAATCTTTATGCGTTAAAAGGTGGAACGATAACAGACGTGAAGAGTGATCAAGAGGAAGAATTATTATCACAACAAAATACTGGAAGTGGAGGAGAAACACTTTTGATGAACAACGGTAGCCGAGATACATCACACAGCGATATACAGAAACTTCAACAACAACTTCAAGATATCAAGGAACAGGTATATCGTCTTTTATCATATGATTTGTTATATGTTTTCCTTTCTTTTTGAATTTCATTTCTTCCTCGAATGAAGATATGTAGAGCGTAATTTACAATCTTCGTCTTATAGGAACTGCAACAAAAAAAAAAAGATTGTAATTTTACACAGAAAATAAAAGCTCGGAAAAAATGTCGATTAAATTGTAAAAAAAAATAAATTAATTGAAATTTGTATTAAGTACATTGAAATATTTTATTTTGTATCTTTACAGACAATGTGTCCAGTTTGCTTAGATCGTTTAAAGAATATGATATTTTTGTGCGGCCACGGCACCTGTCAAATGTGCGGAGACCGGATGTCGGAGTGTCCAATATGTCGGAAGGCGGTAGACAAACGAATTTTGCTCTATTAAATCTAGAAAAGTGATTATCGTTCGGAGCTAGTGTTTCATTTAGATATATAATAATGAATGATAATAGTAGGAATAATTAAATATTGCATCTATTATCTGATTCAAATTTTGAAAGTATAGATACGTTTTATTTTCGATACTTTCAACCTCCACAAGACTGTAACATAAATTAAGATTTTGTTAAAACTATCAAAGTATATTTATACATATACTGCCCATTCACCAAATAAAATTTATACTAATTAATTCTAATAGTTTTTATACTCCTATTTTAAAATTTTAGTAAACATTTATACGAATTAATATGTATAAAATATTTCTATTTAATTTCATTGCATCTATCGTACATAAGTATTATACCATAATGAAGACATAAACAGGCTATTCAGTGTAATCTGTTCCACGATTATTCTTATTTTGAATAAGTATTTCCTAAATATATTCAAGCATGCCAAACATATATATGCTTAAAAATCTTTTAAATAAATGCTATGAAAGATATATACAAATCAGAGGAAACCGAATGCAATATTTACTTATTCCTTCTTTTTTTAATCTGTTAACGGGCTCCGTATAATTTGTTCCTAATATTATAACTTCAGCATATTTTCACGATATAAATATAATCAGGCAATTAAATATAAATATACATTAGGCTGAGTCATGAAAATGAATTATAAGAATTATAGCAAAATGCCAAGCAAGTTGATCGTATCTATGATGAAATATTGAGATCGTATCCTATTTATGAATAGCGCTTCGTTCTTATTCATTTCTTCAAAATTACCAAGTTTGATTCAGTAATGTAAGTTAATAAGTAAACTATTGTTTTCTAGTAATTGTTATTAGTCGAAAACTCTATTAACCAATATTTTTAAACATATATAATGTTTCCATTTTACGCTGATATATAGTCTATACGCACAATAATTCTTCAAAGACATTCGTTACTTAACGTTACTTCAAATGTACAATTAAACGTAGTACTTATAGTGTCGAAAGCCAGCAAACACCTTTTACAAAGCTTTTGCTTTCCTCGATTAGAAGCAATAACGAGTGGGATAAGAAAATTCGTACTTTAGAAAGTAACAGATACCCGCAAATTCTGCATTTCTTTTTTTATTTTGCTGTTTTCCTTCCTGCAATTATACAACAATAACGCGTCTTGTATACAGTAATTTATAGATACAATATTTTTTTAAGTGCTTTTTTTTTTGTTACTTTATCATTTCTACTACACTTTATTAGATGTAATTTGTACTTACCAGTATATTTCCACGATTATAGATTTTGCATCCTATAACAAAAAATTTTATTCCGCTTTTGTAATAATTATCGAAAGGATATAAATTTTTAAGACTTTCTAGTTTTTCTTGTCCCGCAAATAATTTGCATGAATTTCTTGTAAATACTTCGCCACTTCCTGTCCTCAATCTTATTGCCAATACTGTCACATTTGCTCTCCTTTCTTGAAACTGTATAAAGTATCTTATTATTAGAAGTTTCAATATTCCCAATAATAATGGATACTGCCAATTACTTTTATAAGTCATGAAACGTTTAATTTATCATTAAATATCTAATTAGTTATAAAAATATTAGGAAAATAATTATCATTATCATTGTAATTCAAAGTTTCCCTTATTTCCGTAATTTATATATATATATTAAAGGCAATGAAAAGATTACGCAGTTTAATAAAATTAATTTAATTGACAGTAATTTGCATAAACGTTAATAATAGTAACTATCTATATTTTAGAAAACTATATAATAACTTATTCAATTTACTTCCCTCTTTATAGTGAGGAAAGAGGGGAAGCAAAGTTTTGAAAAGGTAATAAATATGAATATTTGTTGGCTTATAAATAATCTTTACAAGACTTTGCATCTTCTTTCTTAGTATCGCTATTGGTAGAAAAATGTAAAAAAAAAGTAATGCTCATCGACTATACATCTTGAAAAGAATATTTATAATGAAATAGAAAGAAAATTTAGCTTCGTATTTGAATCGAACTAATCGGCATAAATTTTCTACTTGTAAAATTAGTAATTGATATTTATATCATTTTGTATTTTTTCCCTTTTCGAAAAATATTCATTCTTATAATAATTTTTTGCTTTGTGAATTTTCGAGAAATTATGGTAGGAATAATCAATAATTGTTAATTGCACTAACAAATATCTTCCTTTATTTAAATTCTGGCTATATAGGTACGACCATACTTACGTTTTGTGATGCAAGAATTCAGTAAAAGAATTATAGTCAGATAATACAAAATCTTTTAAAATAAAATATGCAATCTATGATTATCCTTGATATCGCATAATGTTAAAATTAATGTTATGAAAACATTATTTTTTTATACATAGTGTTAACATCAAAATTTTCATTTTTATAATTTTTGGAAAATATTTTTGTAGTAATATAATGTAATTTGAATATATTAAACGAATATAATAAATTCAAATATTTCATTTAAGTATTTGAGATAAAAAGAATATTTCACGCGTTTGAAATAAATTTAATAAATATTAAGCAATAGTCTTTATTAATATGGTCTTACCTATAAATTAATCTTCGTTGTGAATATTACAATACTATGTAGTGCTTTTAACTATTACCCCTTGCTCTTCCATTTACAATATCTTTTTAGAAGTTTTTGAAAGGCAATTATTATATGCGTTTAGAATAGGAACTTTATTAACTAAATTTAAAATAAGTAGACCAATAAACAAGTATTAGACATTAATATTTAATTTAAAACTCCATTTTTTACAACCCTAGATCATACATAATTTACCTTGAATCCAATAAAATAAAAAATATTTAACACAATTATATATATTGAAATAATCAGAAACATTATAAAACATTTACATACATACCCTTTTATCATTTTGAAAGATCTGATTTATTAATGGAATATAAAATTGGATAAACAAATGAAAAATGTAGTAGGTATTCAACAAAAATTTTGATTATTGAATAATTAAGTTTTGTAATGTCTTCTACTATAATTTTTATTGTAAGTTAATTATTTGTTAACATGGAGTCTTAAAGAAGATACAAAATGTGAATGGGCAACATATAGTTTTTGTACCATTCCTGTTATATAATATTTCTGTAAAAGGATACATTTTATCTGAGAATATTATATATAATAAACAGCATTAAAAATGATGTATAACATTACAATGGGATTATAAAATTTTCTTATGAAATCTGAGTAAAAAAATCAATTGTAACAATTTTTTCATTTTCAAGATGATAAAAATATTCGTAATTTCATCCCTTTGGTTACTTAATCGTTGATCCTATTGTATTGTCTATCTCTTTGGCGTTTGCAATGGAAGAAACATTGTAACAGAAACATTGTAAGAAAAATGTTACGATGATTAGAAATACTATCTTAATACTTGTATTATTCTATTACGTTATACATATAATCATCTCAATTGTATTCAGGGAAATTATAACAATAAATACATTTGTTCAACCTAATAAAGAACAATAGTATGTTAAATATTCTTATTTATTGCGCACATATTAATAAGTTAAAATAGTTTAATTCTGATATGTATCTATTAAGTAAAATTTTATATAGAGGACAAATAATAGAAAATTATAGAATGCAATTAATATTTTATTAATTTAATAGAACTTTCTATTTCTCACTGAGAACATCAAAATATAGATATTCTTCCATGTCATTAAAATCATTAAATATTTAGTACCAAACATAAAAATATCAAATGAATGTAAAATAAATAAGATTTTAAAGATACAAATATTTTTAACTCTTTTAAATTACAAGAAATTGATTGCGGTATATTGCTGTAATAACAATAACTTCTATGTTTATGAAAAATTATTTATTTTTGATCAGGAATTTTAATTACTTCATATACAGAAAAGCCACATTAATAACTGAATTTACAGATTCTTCTCTTTTACATAAAATTCTTTTAAAATTTGACAAAGAAGTTTCACTCGCCTTGTAACTGTACACTCCAAAATTCATACCACGAATTATCTTCAAACCAAAGACAAGCCCGTGTCCTTGGTTGAGAAATCTCTTCTAAATCTAACATTCATATAAAATACTATCTCACACATTCGTATGGCCCATTTACGTTACAGTAACGGCACTTTATAAATTAGACCGAATACAAGAGAAAATTATTCAGCCAACTTTTATTAACGAGGACAATATTGTATAAATAGAATTATTTATTTATTAGGAAATGAAATGAAAGCATTGAAGAGCAGTAAAAAAATCCTTACATCCTTCATGGATGATTATTAAATAATTTACTATAACGAGCTGTAGGGACATGTGCGTAAGCATAATTGAATGTATTACTATATTAAATATTTAATTACGTTAATTCAATAACTCTCTAGCTGTAACTTTGTATTGTTACTGACAGTCAGATATAACAAACGAAATCATTGATAGGTTGTGTGACACTTCGTTATTTTCTGTTTCTCAGTAACATATTCGTTTCTGAATCAAATTCAACTGTTCTTATAAATTAATTCCAATTCTTTGCGACCCATTTAAGTGTGATTAAAATTTTTGTTGCACATTCATAACAAAGAATTAGTACTACGTCAAAAATCTTAATACCAAAAGAACCATAACACTAGGAATGTGCAAATTATAATTATAAATAAAAAATGTGCAATCTACAACCTAAAGAAAATTATAACTTTAAAAGACTAAAGAAAAAATTATTTTAGATTATACAATTGTGCTTCATTTCATAAATTGATACAGTATTTTATAACAAAATTTCATAAAATATTAATACATTGTTATATATGTATATATTTCTATTTAAATAAATTCGTCTGAATATTTGTGCTTTGCACAATATGATTAGTTATTGATTAAAAATTTCTTGTAAGTATTTTATAACTATGACAAGTTATTAAAAGTTGTGAGTATTTTTTAAAACAACTGTATTAAATTAATAAATGACAAAAATCTTAAATCATAATAAATGACATAAAATATAATAAATACAAATAAAATCTTTTTAGATCATTATAAATTACCAAATTAGTACATGCATTGCAATATTATTAATACAAAATGATAAAAATAATTTCTGTATCAGTTTCAAACATTACAAATGAAGATGAAGATCACAGATATATTTTATATTCAGTGTCATTCAATTATCCTCAAAATGTTATTATGGAACTGATATTTATGATTTATAATTCAATACTTAACTCCCAATATGGGTCGCAAAGAAAATATACTTCCTTAACATTCAGATGATGAATTTAAGTTGGGAGGAGACATTTTTTTCGTTCGAGTAAGTCGATCTAATTCCACTGCTGCATCATTACACATAGTTGCTTTATCTACTGATGCATTATCTGAAATAAACAATAAATCGAAATTTTTAACTTTAAAATGTTATGAAAATTCATAATATACTACATTCTTATAATGCATTATAAAACTTACCAATTTTTATCGGACTCGTACCTACAGTACCTGGTGATCCAGGGCTTCCAGTCTTTTTGTGAAGAAGAGAATTGAAGAAGTTAGCTAGAACACCTTCCCCAGATTGCGCAGATCCAGTACCTTTAGGATCCAACTTTTTATTTGGTGATGCAACCTGTATAAAAAATATTTAATATTTGCAAAATGGTATTTTCTGTTATATTCATAACAGATCATACCACAAAGATTAGAACATGCTTTTGATCGTCCACTGTAAAAACACATAGTGATCTCATTCACCACAAAGTTACTAAACAATGGAATATGTAATTAAAATTTAGCCTGTCAAAGTATGAAATAGTCATGTATGCAAATATGCTTTTTCTGTACAGTAAATCTAACAAAATACACATATTAACATTAATTGTTAGCTTAGATTCTAAAATGTAAAAGAACACAATATAGTTTATTAAGATACAATATTATCTTATAATTATATAATGAGAAGCTACTAACCTAAACATAAGAATATATAAACACTAAGCAATGCATGAATTGATCTAATTGATTTAATGTCAATGCAAAAAAAGTGCTCGATGATCCTAACATTAATTTACAAAAAATTGAATAAGAAATGTAAATGCTATGTGTCAGATAATTACACCCAAGAATATAAAAAGCAACACTCGCTCAAACATCAATTAAAGTCAAAATTTTCGGGGTATTACAGTCAGAATATTTTTAATATGAATAAGCATTATCTGTTAAGAGATGAGGATATGATGATAACATACATGAATACATGGTATATATACATAAATTAGCCACAACATTGTTATTCAATGCTGAATGATTATTAACTGCATGTAACATGACAAGCATGCTCCAATTATAAATGGTATAACCTGAATAACTGGTCCAGTGCTTGCCTGATTCCTGGTTGTTGGAGATCGTGTTGGATCTTTTATACCTAATAATGCGGCTTGTTGTTTCGCTAAGAAAGCTTGTTCTTCTTCTGCCTGTACTTCTACTTCTCTAGCTACACACTAATTAGTAAAATAATATTTTACTATAAAGTCCTTAATATTAAAAAAGTAATTTATCTGTACACACACATACTTTTCTGTTTGTTGATGGTTGTGCAATTACATCTCTATAGTAATCATCTGGTTTCATTGATTGCAAATTTTCATGAAGAATACTAATCTTTTTCATATTATCCCAACCAGCAGGACTGTAAACAAGAACATCTTTAAAATATTAAAAATATATACAAATATTTACTCAATTAAAATTACATACATGAGAACTGCATCTTTTTCGACGACTAAAGCAGGTGTTCTAAATGGTAAAGAATAAATTCTATGTGTAAGATATTTATAAAGCAAATCACAGTTTTTATCTTCCTTTGCTGATGTGTAGAATAATCCTGCACCATATTGCAAACAGAATCGTCTTATCCACTGTTGTATAAAATCAAAATGTTCATCCCTATAAAAAATTAAAATTATTGAACAAATAAAGTAAATTATTACCACCAATTATATCTTTTTTTAATAGTAATTATATTATGAACTTACTTATAATCATGTTCTTTCTCAAGAGTAGACATATAATCAGTTTTGGTAATAACAACAACAACATCTAGGCCTAAATTTGTTGTAAGTACTCCTTCTGGTAGTGGTAAATTATCCATTGTATCGTCATCTAAGTTACGACTAGTTCGCCTTAAAGGACTACCAGGATCTAATTCATCTCCAGGTTCTGTATAATCTTGCCACTTTTTTACATCTAAGCACATAAAAAATGATTTGAAAATTTGAAAAATGATGTAATTAATATATCTTTTATTATTAAATGAACACATGTAACAATGTAAAATACATACTATGAAAGAAGTAATTTAAAAATATGACTTACTAAATTGCCTGCATCGTTGCCAAGTATCATTATCTAAAGGTAATTTGTCAATATGATCTCCCAAAAGTGCAGCCCAGGATTGAAGTTGATCGAGGATAGCCCATGGAGTTGTCATTGCAGCAACTAACATAACAAGTGTATGTGGAAATCTTTCTGCATTTAATGCGAATCTTAAAAGATTTGCATGACCAGGATCACCATCTAATACCCATACAGATAATCTTGTTTGATCTGAGTAAAAAATTTAAATAATAAAACTTCATTACTCTTCACCTGCTATAATTAGAAACATTATCAATTCTTAATTGATATTACCATCTCTATAATCATCTCTGACATCAATATAAGCAAACTCCAAACCGGAACCTTTCTTTGGATCTTCTACGCCTTGTAATTTAGCAATGAGTGTTGTTTTTCCACTTTCATTATCACCTATAAATGAAATGATTTCTTGCTACTATGTACATGTGTAATCTAAATACTTAGTGAACAGCTTTATTATATAACATATATGTCATAAACATTTATATTATTATCATTGAATATGTAAAATTAATTTTAAAAATCTTAACAAAAGATAATAAACAAATTATACGTCAAATAAAAAATCAAACAAATAGGCAACCATATGTTACAGGCAACATCAAAACAAAATTACATGTATAAACATTATATTTGACACTCATTATAATGCATAACATTTATGCATGACACATACACATATCTTCAGAATCTTGCATTAATTAAGGAAAGTAATTACTCAAACTTACCTAAGACAAGAATATTCTTGTTTGAGGGTAGTTTGTTACTGCTACTATTTTGTACTTCAGCCAAAATAGAGGACCTGTATAAAGGGAGACAATTAAAAATAAAGTAAATTATTAAAAATGACTAATTCTCTGACTTCTAATGTGTGGCACGCAAGACGAACGTCAAAATATTTATACGTTGCAATTGCCTACTGCAATATGTACGCTTTATATTAAAAAAATTTCGAAAGCAAACTTTTTACACATACCATAAGTTGTCTTTATTTTCTGGATCTTCCTTTTTCTTCGATTGAAACCCATTGCTCTGCAACATCATATCAATTGCCGTCGCTGCCATTATCCATTTGACAGAAATGAAATCTGCTATCGATTGTACGCAAACTGCGGGTGCGGCTCGCAGTTAACTTCATTCAGAACGGAATCTTAAAAGTTCAAATGTACGTGTAAGCTTATACATGTTCATTTTCTGTACTTTATATTTCATGTTTAATTGTTATTTAATATTCTATTTTTGATAATACGTCTTTTAATATATATATACGTATTATTATAAACATCTAACAACATTTTTCTATTAATATATAAATTACGTACACATTGAAAATTACACTTTACTTATACAAAAAATTTAACGTTAATGGATAGTTGGTCTTACTGTTTATTCCAAATTAAAATTTAATGAATCATGAATGTATAATACACAGGCACATACAATGTATATATGTAGTATATTTAAATATATATGAAATAAAATAATATAAAATTAAGCAAAATAGTCATATCATATCTGATAACAAATTTTAAAATATTTATAACTATACCGTTTTAATATTTTTTTCTTTAAGTAAATATATAAGTATTTTATATAATATCTGTATTTCAAAAAAACATTTTCTTTTATCATTCATTCTTTTGATTATAATGTTGGTAACACATCAGATAAACCGTTATTTGTTATGTACTTTTTTGATTATATTGTTGGTAACACATGATATAAATCGATATACGTTATAGACTCGTGGTATAAGCAAATACGTACTCAGTAAACCCAAGTAAGGCGATAAAGAATTCAATATAAATTAGTATAAAATAAGGAGAAAAGAGGATGATTTTAAATGAATCCGATAGTGAAGATGAATTACCCCCTGGATGGGAAGAAATGACAACTCCTAATGGAAATGTCTACTATGTAAAGTAAATAATAGTATTCGTTATATATTATTATTGTTATTATTATGATATAAATTATAGATATTAATAAAACCTAGTGTTACATCCAGTACTTAAGACTTAATATAAAATTATCTATCTATAATACATCTGTAAAATGTAATTTTGTAAATCTCAATACTATTTTGTTTTTAGTCATTATACAAAGGGCACACAATGGACACACCCTAGAACTGGTCGAACAAAAACTGTTGGGGGAGGTACAATATTACTATATAAATTTTTATATATGTACAATCTAAATTTTTAATTAACCACTTATGTCATAGTACATATTAATTTATAATATTTAAATATTTACATCTATGTACTTTTGATACTTAAATATTTACATCTATGTACTTTTTGAACTTGATGATAAATAATTATGCAGTTATTAACAAGTTTCAAACATTAACTGTTATGAATAAAATTTGATAATGTTATTTATCAATAAGAACTGCCATCTGGATGGGAAAAACGTGTGTCAGAAGATGGTCAAGTCTTATTTGTCGATCATATAAATCGTACAACAACATATACTGACCCTCGGCTTGCATTTGCTACAGAATATAGAGAATCATCACAGCCTATAAGACAACGTTTTGATAGTAGTAGCACAGCATTATCTGTTTTACATGGTCGAGACTTAAGGGGTAAACTTGCCATAGTTACAGGTGCCAATACTGGGATAGGTATATATGTTACATACATTTCATACTATTCAGATCAGTTGTAATCAACAATAATTCTACCTTTATAGACAATTTAGTATGTTATTTTTCTCTACCTAATTATATTTTTTAAGGATTTGAAACAGCTAGATCATTAGCTCTACATGGATGTAAAGTTATCTTAGCTTGTAGAGATCTAGAAAAAGGTGCAGAAGCAATACAAAAAATACAACAAGAAAAAGAAAATGTTATGTGTGAAACATTACATTTGGATTTGTCATCATTATATAGTGTTAAAGAAGCAGCTGATGAATTTAACCAAAAATATAGGTATGCTTAGATGGTTAAAACTATCATTAATAGCAATATATTTTCATAACAAATTTACCATATTTACATTACATTATTCATTACTGTTACATTTTTAGCACTTTAAATATCCTTATTTTAAATGCTGGTGTCTTTGCAATTCCGTATGCACTTACAAAAGATGGTTTTGAAACAACATTTCAAGTAAATCATCTTTCTCAATTTTACTTTACTCTTTTATTAAAAGAACCACTACAACGTTGTCATAATTCCAGAGTAGTGATAGTTTCAAGTGAATCACACAGGTATTTAAAACATTTTAATAAATATAATATTGCATATATTATATAATAACAAATATCTTCTTTTTCTGTAATAAAAATTGATATATGATATCTTATTTTTACCAATAGATTTTCAAATTTAAAAAAAGAAGAAGATTTTCATCGATTAACTTTATCTCCTCCTCCATATAAATATTGGTTTATGGAAGCATATAATAATTCAAAACTATGTAATATCTTATTTGCACAAGAATTAGCAAAACGGTGGCCTTCTGTAAATGTCTTTTGTTGTCATCCTGGTAATATGGTTTCTTCTTCATTAAGTCGTTATTCATGGATACTCCGATTAATGTTCATGCTAGTACGACCTTTTACAAAATCACTGGTAAGATAATCAGTTATTTAAAACAGAATACTTAAGAAAACGTAATTACAATTTTTTTTTTTCAAATCACACAGCAACAAGCTGCTAGTACACCAGTTTTCTGCGCAAGTGCACCAGAATTGGAAGGGATAACTGGATGTTATTTCAGTAATTGTTATCGTTGTGATCCATCAAAAACTGCATTAAACCCCGCACTGGCAGAAAGATTATGGTTTGTTAGTGAAAAAATGTTTGTTTCTGCTATAAAAGTTAGGAAATTTCATGAAAGATTTAATTTAAAATGAAAAATATTATTATACAATATTGTTATGAATGAACAGAAAACATGAATTCAAAGAATATTTTAATCAATCAAAAATTTTTAATAGATTTAAAATATTAATAAGAAATTTATATCTATTTTCATCACAAATTCTATATTCAATAAATTTGGTTTTATATCTTTTGTAATTTAATACATTTTTCCTAAATTCTATTTATGGTCGCATATGAAGCTATTTATGTATTGGGTTGCTTGGAAAGTTCCTCCTAATTTTTGAGAAAAATTCAAACGTAGCACATTTAAATATCGATATACATTTATTGAATTATATAGCTGCCATTTTGTTCCACAATCATCCTCCATCTTTCAATCAACTTGAATATTCCATCCTTCCAGAACTTCTTAGGTTTTTCAGCAAAAAACGTTGCAATATGATTTTTCAGGCTGACCAAAGAGTTAAAGTTTTTGCCATTAAGGGAATTTTGTAATGATCTATATAGCTGAAAATCTGAGGGTGCAATGTCTGCTGAATATGGTGAGTGGGGTAGCACATCCCAACCAAGCTTCAACAGCTTTTGTCAAGTAGTCAAAGACATAAGAGGCCGTGCATTGTCCCGATGAGACACCCTTCCGATTAGATAGTTCTGGACGTTTTTGTTCAATTGCTGTCTGTAATTTGTTTACTTGCGATTCATTCCGCCTTTTCCAGGATCTTTTCCACTCAACATTATTATGAATAGTGCATTTTTCATCTCCCGTCACTACTTGCTCTAAAAATGGTGTTTCTCGTTGCGTTTATAGAGTTAATCGCAAATGGAAATGCGATCCATCAAATCTTTTTCTGTTAAATTTTGGGGGGAACCTATACATCAAAACGGTTTATATAGTCAAGCTTCACAAAATGTTCGTGAATAGTAGATTTTGGTATATTTCTGCTAATTCACATGTATAGCGTAGGTTATTCTCGACCAATGTTTTGATCTGATGTTCATCAATGGTGGAAAGTCTATCCGGGCATTCTTGACCTTCAAGATTTAAATCAGCTTTAAATCTAGCAAACCACTACCGCACAGTTCTTTCTGATACAACACCGTTACCATAAACAGCGCTTACCTTGTTTGCTACTTGTGTGACATTTTTGCCCTTCCACATTTAAGAGCATATGAAACTAACAAAAGTTTATATATAATATATTCCAACCAAACCCTTTTCTAAAGATGCCTGAAATATCATCTTTTAGAATATGGACACATGTCATTTGTTTTAAATTATTCTGATATATTCAAACCTGTTGTAATGTCACCTACCGAAACAGTACAAACTTTCCAGACAACTCAATACATTAAAAACATATATCTATGTATATTGAGATTGTATTCAACTATTATTTTTTGTTAAATTAAAAAAATGGACATCTTTCGTGAAATGTTTACAAATTAATTTTAAGGAATTTAGTTGATGTGTAAGAAAAAAGCTTTTTTCCTAAACTTTTAGAAGATTTCATGTTTTCAAATTAAATTAGTATGATATATGTAAAAATAAAAAAATTATACAAACTTTTTTTCAGTAATATTTATTTTATAAAATTTCTAATAAAATTAAAAAATAAAAAGAATATTTTTCCTACTCAAATATTCATGTAAAATTTAAATACGTAACAAAATATTTTATTCAGTAACAAAGAAAAAAAGCTGTGCTCATGTTTTTTCAAACAAATTGGCAATATATGTGAAAACAACAGAAATTCATATACACAAACATATAAAAATGACTCATTAAATACTTCCGATTTTGTACGAAACGTAAAAATTAAAAAATTAAGTAGTGAAATTATACATTATCTTTTGGAATCGTTATGCACAACTACGTACACAGATTTTTAGAATCTACTATTGGAAATATATTTGGCAGAGATATAACTTGCAGAGAACCAATTCATCGATGCGATGATTATCAACCACGTGTGTTAGTAGAATTTGGAAGAACTGGCATAAAAGTATGTATTTAAATAATAATTCCTATAATGCAATTTATTATGACTATTGAAGTATCAATTAACGAATTACAAAATACTTAATTTTTAAGGAAGAAAAAATTCTAAACTCATTGTAGTTTGTATTATATACAACAACATATAACACAGAAAAAAATAAAATTTATACAACATTCCGATTTTCTTTTTTTTAAACTGTTACGAATATTTACAATTGACAGCATAAACAAAGCCTTGAAACATCATGTCAATTTTGTGTAAAGTAATGTAAGTACAAAATGTACAAAGATTTTTGATTTTAGTGATTAAGTCCTACGTCGTTTTTGCATAAATTTTGGTTAAAGTCGAATATAAATTTGGTAAGTATATACACATACACCTTATACATACTGTATACATATTGTACTTTTAAAATATCTATAGAATATTTAAAATTAATATTTTTGCATTTATTTTACTTAAGTTTAAATATAAATATTAAAAATTGATAATATTTATTTATCTTATTTTACTAAGAGCAATATTAGTAATGAATATTTTAAATATTTATTTTTTCAGTAAAAAAGGAGTTTCATTACTTAAATAAATTTTAATTACATTATTCGATGGTAATAAAATTTGAACAGGGTAAATATTTAACAATATGTACATGTGTTTTCATCATTTTTGTTTTTTTTTAAATATTTCATAATTTTGCGTCTTCTGAAAGTAACCTTAGATGTCGCATCCTTCGTCTTTGGCCTGTAGAACTAATTTTCTACAGTGCCAAATTATAATTCGTTCATAATTTTGATAATGCTCGGATATCTTTATAAATTATTTCAAACATTCTAACATAGTTTATAAGGAATTACGTGTTCTTAAGAAAATTATCATTAAATCGCATTTTAAAATGTATCGAATAATGGTAATTATAAACATGACGTTTTCGCTATCGTTTATTTTAATTTTATGATTTCTCTTTCATTTCATTTTACTTTATATTTTCCGTTACATTTGTTAAATTAAATAAATACTAGAATGTAAGGAAATTTTTAATATAGCTTCTTAATTACTATTAAACATTGTTTATTTCTAATAAATGCAAACAGTTTCTCAAAAGTAATTTAAATATTATTACTAATATGGAAAACAGAAATCAAATATATATTTACATGAAGTTGTTCAAGAAATTCTTGATGCCGTGTGGGCTATGTGCTGCAGTACCAGCAATGAAACCTCCAACTTCTCCTGAAGATACTACACCATGTAGTAATGAAACACAAGGAAAGAAATTAATAAAACCATCAGAATTACCCATTTATTCTATCGATGATGGGTATTCTAAGCAGATGCCATGGTAAAGCGCAAGTAATTTCATATTGATAACATTATTTTTATCCCTGTTTCTTAAAGGACTTTTATGAAAATGTGATTTATCTAAAATATAGATCCATTATTTTAAAAAATTTTTTAAGAAGTAAAATCTATAAGAAAACATTGTACTACATTATGAAGATAATCAATCCATTATGATTAATTTTTTATAGCATAGAATATCCTTCTATTGTGGAAGAAAATATTAGAAAAGTACGTCAAACAGTGAGGGAGATAAAAGTTACATTAGACAGGGTTTCCCATGATGTTTCAAGTACCTTTGAAAATCTTAAATGTATGCATTTATGTGTAGTATAAAATTTAGAAATACTTTCATATAATTGGAACGTGCTATGGCATGCAAATCTATTAGTATTAATAAAATGTAATATTATTTCAGTTGCAGTTGATTACCTCCAAGATGAAGCCAATATTATGCCACGAATAGGAGCTGTTGGTATTGGTGGTTTATCAGGATTAATATTCAGTCTCAGAGGAGGCATATTAAAAAGACTGTTTTATACAACTACAGGTGCTAGTATTGTTGGATGTATTTGTTTCCCCAAGGAAGCAAAACAAGCATTAAACACAGTAGAACACTATGGAAATATTAGTTACAATTTCATTTATGGTGGTATGTATATTACTTTATACTTTTATTGCTCTACACAACTGTTAATATGATCTTAAATTTATTTATTTATTTTATGTATTAATCATACAAATGGCAAGCAATATGAACTCTTTCACACATAATACTGTTTATTATTAATACTAAAATGATGTTTCTATTTTAAAATTGAATTTAGGACACTTTTTATATTAAAGTCTTGTTAACAAATTGTTAACAAATTTATTCGTTTGTAAAAAAAATACAGAAATGGATATAAAAAAATGTGTTGTAAATGTACCTTATGTAATACATTATGTGCTTATAATACAAAAGTATAGTATAAATTTCAATGCTGCATTAAAAATTTCAGTGAAACCAGGGGATAGTAACAAAAAGGAAATTTCAGTAAATGAATTTCCATTACTGAAAAGTGTGCTTGAATCAGAATATTTTCGTATGGTAGCTCGACTTTTTAAAAAAGAAACGAGCGATACAACTGTATCAACCAATACAACTGAAAAAGTGGAGGTAGGATGCAACAACAAAATTATTTTATTGCATCATTCCTCCTGTACCTTACGCAATAATAATGTTAATATAGTTTGCCATTGTACAGTACAATGTATTCTATGACATATTTAACTTTAGATGAATATAATCTCCAAAATTGAATATTACAAAAATTTAGAGGAACATGAAATTTATATTAAAGATACTTAGTAATAATAGATTTTTCATAACGGTAAAATATTGCATTTTTTAATGTTAAAATTGATTTTTTACAAAAATTTTTGTCTTAGTCTTTGGAAGATCTGAAGGAGATAATTTATCAGAAGCTCATTACGTCTCATTTCATCACAATAAAGGAGATTCAAATTCTCATGAATTAATAACAGTAAAAGAAACTTCTCCCATAAAAGTACAAAATTCAAAGAAATCAAAATCTCTGATTAAGTAGATGTATAATCACATAGGTATTCTGTCTATTGTCATCCTTATTTACTTTTATAAATATTTCCTTTACCTGATTAAATAAACATTTCCTTTTAACACCAGACATTCAATAATTCACATTCAAATGTTATGTTAAGATGTAATTATTATTTTTTTGTATTTTAGCTAAATACAAAGAAGTGAAGAATTCAAAGAAGAAAGAGTAATGAATTAGCAACATTAGTTAATGAATATTTAATAATTCAATATAATATAAAAATTATGTAAAGTTTTAATATCTGTAAATAAAAATCATGAGAAGTAATTTCAATTCGTTAGTAAATAATCCAATACATGACTATAAAAGATTATGATTTGTTTCAATTGTTTATTACATTATCTATTTGTTATTCTAAAGTTATTAGACTAAAAGTAATAAATACTTAATATTGACTATTTATATGTAGAAGCACAGTAAAATTTTTAAAATTGTTGACATTTTTTTTTTTGTTTTCAATTTCAAATAATTTCATAAAAAGATTCAAATGTAAATATATTTGAAATATATAGTGCACGCTGGCTCAGGTAAGTAGAATCAAAACCAAATTTTCCGGCTTCTAGGTAAAATTTTTCAGCTTATGAGTACATAAATGAAATTTTGCAACCTAAAGAATTAAGTGAAATTAGTTTTATTTAAACAGTTTTCCTAGTTTCAAAATTAGAAGAAAATTTAAAAAATCATTCAGTTAGCGGATCATGAAACACTACAACCACCTAGCAGTAAAACGGTAGAACTAATCTCTTTGAAACGAAATTAAGAAATAAAATTTCTTAATCCGCAAGGCGAGTTTTTAAACTATTCAGGAATTAAATTAAAACTTTAATGGCGTCATCTACCAGTTAAAAATTTCATTTCTTGTTAGTTATTGATTTACCAGGTAGATGGTACCACCATATCCAAAATACGGCTCCGCGTTTTTTATGCATTGTAACAATAACCACGTGCTATACTGGAGTTTTTAATCATAATACATTATTACACATATTTTCATTGAAATATAATCTGAACTACAAAAATAACAATTGTATTTTATATTTTGTATATTTAATTTAAAAAGGAAAAACAAAAATGAGTGTTAACAAAGCAAAATTATCAAAAAGTATTTTAGAAATGAAAGTAAGTTAACAAAATTGTATAAAATTGTGTATAAAATTTTATATTTTAATGAATATTATTTATTTATTAGTTTATGAAACGAACGAAAGAAAAAGTAGAGAAACAGCAATTTCATGAAGAAGGTGAAGAATATTTTGGGAATGAACTGACGAAACGTATGAAGAAAGATTCGTAAGTTTTTGCAATTCTTAAACGAATATTTTAACAAGTTTAAACTTAACACATAAGTATTTGGATATCTCATTATTTTTTTAATTATAATTTGTCAATTAATGTGTAAAATAAAATATTTATATCACTTAGTAACTGCACAGTAACAATTAACAATTATTATAATAAACGTAATTTTTACATGACAAAATAAAGCAATATGTACATCTATAATCACAATCTATTTTGAATAAAACGAATATGTATTTCATAAAAAGATTAAAATTATCTGTTTACTTTTTATTTAAGAGAAAGATTTATCATTGAACCTAGTTATATCTTCTGTGAGAAGTTAATCGATGGCAGAGTAAGTTTTCAAGGAATGAATCCTGAAATAGAAAAATTCATGGAAGAGGAACGAGATGATGAACATACGGAGATGGAAGAAAAACAAGAAGTAGATATTTCAGATGAGCAATTGGCAAAAAATTGGAAAAATTATAGGAAACTGACAAAGACTGAACATAAATATGAAAAATTATTAAAAAAACATAAGGATTATGAACTATCACCAAAAAAACCAAAGTTTTTGAAACCACAATATTAATATTTGATAAGAATGATTTACATGTGTATATATATTAATTTTAATAGAAATTTTTATGTAAATATTACTTGCTGGATTGAATACCAATTTCTAAGGTAATTGTATAATAATATGTAATATATATATATACATATAAAATATTTATACATTTTATGTAGATTATAGTAAACTTTTTATTACTAAGATTTATAAAATATTACTGAAATAATTATTTGCGTAACTGATATTAAAAAATATTTAAACGTAATTTAGCTAAATATATGTTTATGTAGACATGCTATAAAAAATACTTTGTAATTTCGTATAATATAGTTATATACGTATATATTTTATTAAATTCCAGTATTAAATTATAGATTTTAATTATTTCTATCATCAATTAAATCATCATATTGATCAAGCAAACTTCCAAAAATTTCTATGGATACATTATCTGTATAGCTTTTTTCTTGTCCTTTTTTCCAAAGCAAATCGAAGGTGTTATTGGGGAATCGGATTCCAATAGTTTCAAAAATATTTTTTATTTCTTCCTTATTTCGAAGCTATTATTTGAAATATAATTAACAAGACATGTACATTTATATTATAAAATTAAAATTTTTTCAAATACTATATAAATTATTTTCAAACATACTCTAGATAGATCTGTTGGGATAAGACCATGTTTTGTAAAAATATTTGGAAGTATAAGACTGTAAGCAGTACATCTATCCAAATCTACATAAGAAATTCCTGCTGCTGGAATATCTGTAAAAATAATGAGATATTGTTGACATGATGATTTAATGTTTATAATATTTTTAATATTATTTTATCTACATTTGAAATACATATTTTTTAACTTAAAGAATTAATATAACAATTTATTGAAGAAGGCAAAAATAAAAATACATCTTTCTGAAGAATGTTATTTTTATGTTTTTCAAAAATGAAATTTTGTCTATCTTTATATATATTTATTATTATTTATTTATTATATATTTTTATTTCATCTAAAATATATAAAGAACATACTAACTTGTAATATCTATGCTTTCTATATTTCCTATTGTAGTATTGTATGTAGTACTGTAATGTTGACATTCTGAAGGAATCTCTGAAAAAATGATGCAATATTAGACACTAATGTTAAATATTATAATTTAGAAAAATGATATGTTATTAAAAAAGTATTCTAATATGTGTATTTTAACATATTATTTATGTATATACCATGTAAAAATTAAAATTTATGAAACAAATAAACGGAAGAATTAAGAATTCTAAAAAATACATTACTTTCTATCTTTGGTAATGTAGGAAAGTCATATTTCCAGTTTAAGAGATTTAATAACTCTTCATACTTTACATTCTCTTCCTTACGTATTTGAAGAAGATCTAATATAGGTGTTAGAAATGTCTTATTTATATATATTTTATATTTAGCTAAGATAGAAAAGACTTTATCTTCTGATAAAATGTTTGTATAATCCTATGAACATATATAAAATCACTTTAATTAACTTGTCTTCAAGTTTTATACAGATAGCAAAATGAAATAAGATTAATGTAATACTTTATCAAGGGATAATAAATCTTCATAAATATCTAAAAATGGAATTTCTGGAACATGCTTCTTCAATTTCAGACGTAAACTATTTATATATTGTAAATAGCCCTGTTGCACTACCACTTCATTATTTATAGGACAATCACTTAAAATATTTAACATTTCAGATATTCCTTTTTTTTCATATACTTTATCATCTATTATATTCATGATATCTCTAAAACATTCAAATAATTGGAACATTAAAAATGAAGAACTATTATTATTAACGTGATGTTTCTTTCATTTAACATAAAGATGTTAGTCATAATTTATATTACTTTTGTCTTAAATAAAAATTTCGTTTCTTCTACTTTTTCTTATCATAATTATAATATGATTTTCCAGTAATAACATAATTAATAGCTTTACTATATCTAATTACAATGATATTTATTCCTACCATTGTAACTAATGAAGCTATTACTCTTACTTTACTTCACCAATACGAGAATGTGAATGATCTGGATCTGCAATAATCCATGTTAAGAGTCTTTTTAGTCGTTCACCTTTGGTATTAGCATTCCATAATTTTCCAAAACATGAATTTTGATCAAATGGTTTCTTATATCTGAAAATTTAATTTAAAGTTATGTAGTATGTAAGTTAATAATTGCCATTTGACAGATTTCATTATTTCATACTGTCTTTTAACTTGTTCTGCAGGTAAATAACTGTTATGACTTTTTTTATACATTTCAAAAATATTCCGTTCTGGAATATCACTTTCTATTATGTCTTGTTTAAGAAGTTCACCCATAGTTTCTCCTAATTAGTAAAAAATATTTTGTGAAAATATTTCATAAACTTTATTCAATTACAAAAATTGGCAAATAATCGAAATTGTATGTATTATATTGCAGTTATATTTTTTTATTATAAATGTACTAATTGGTGATATTTTATACCAGACTTAAGCTTTTTTCCAAAAGTTACTTCCAGTGGTTTCATACCCACTGGTAGATTTGAAATTTGGTAACGTGTTTTACCAACTTCTTTATTCCAATAACTGTTCATAACAGTATTTCTTAATTCAGAAATAATTGTTTGAAATGATGTCTCTTCATCTGGTTGTAAACATTCTTTCACCTTGAATTATTTGTAAAATACATTAAACATTACTTTTATATTTACTACACAACGATGCTTTTTACTATTATTAATTAATCAAACTTTATTTATAAGAAGAAGTTACAAATATTAAAAACTTAATTCTGGAAATTATATAATTATATATAATAAATTATAATAAACATAAATTATGATAAAAAAGATTTTGTTATAGTAGATTTCAGTCTTACATCAATTATTCGTTTCGAATTATGTATATTGCTCATGATCGGTGGTAACTTTTGTGTATGCCTTTCATTGTGAACAAATATATTTCTCAAAGCTTCAACTTTATCTTCTAAAGAATATTCTGTAAAACATTCTTTAATGCTAGATGTTGAGGTTTTCTATAAATAACAAATCATAAGATACATATGTACATAAACATTTAGTAAAACAATATTCTGTTATTTTATTTTTAAAATAACGCACTAATGTTTTATAAATTTACCACGTAAAAAATAATTGACTGTGAAAACATTTTTTAATCTCGAATCTGTATTTTATCAATTTTACATTCATGCTTCTAAGCCTATATCGAATAAAATATTTGCCTAAAAAATAGTTATAATTTACTAATAAAACACAATCTTACGAAGCTTTTGCTGTAAGCATTTTCATCTTCATGGACTAAACCCAAAAGCTGATTTCTTGAATTTATAGTACTTTTACATTTTTCCATCTTAAAATAAAATATTAAGTAAGTAAAAGAAACATGAAGTACAATATTATCAATTGCAGTTGAACTATCAAATTTTCTTAATCAATATCTATGTAGAAGCAAATTTAACAAAAGAAATAAAATGTAAAAGTTGTACTATATATTATCATTTTTCTTATATTTAATTTTTAATTTGCTCCTTTAGAAATAAAAAGAAATAATCAAAATATATACATAATTAAAATTTAATTTCATATCTCTATCAATATTATTTCTGTATATAAAATGTTCTGCTCATTTCTGGTATTTAAGACGGAAATAATTAAAATTATTATTTCATCATTTAATGTCATTTAAACATAATTTTTATTTATTACATAACAATTACTTAATGTTAATAACTTTTCGTGAGATGTTAAAATAAATATGATTACGATTTTAATCTTTTTTCAAATTATTTCATTGTGATAAGTATGTCAAATTTTAATGCCATAATTCTAATATCGTTTTATTTATTACATTTCAGTAATACGTGTCTCTTTCTTATAATGCTGAATTTTAATTACTAAATTTTATACATATTGAAATTTCACAATCGATTAGAATTGATTTTTGACGAACTTAGCATTTGATTGATGTCGTATACTGTCATTGTATAGTGTAAATCTACTGTACGTTTATATTATTGTAGCAACGAGCAGACAAATTATAATAATACATAATATAATAAGTGTAGACATATGTAATAATAATGACAGCAGCTAAGCAAAATATAAAACGATCTAAATGGGCTTTGGATTTCGCTCACAAGTTGGTAACTTTATCATTCAAGTTATATTTTCAATGTACAATGTAGTTTGTTTTAATATGATCACTTCCTGAAATCATTTTTTAACTTATATACATCTATATGATCTATATAATCTCGTAAATTAAACTGTAAAAAATAAATATGTTGATGAAAATTGTGGTTTTTCCAATAGTTTTAGATAATTAAATGATTTAAAAATGTAGAGGTTAGAATACAGTACTTTATTTAGTACACTCTCATTGTACTAATATCGTCTTATTAAACAATTCAAGCATTAGAATATTTATTATAGATATTAATCAAAATGAATGTTAAACTATGACAATGATGATTTTCATTATATATATTTATTGTCTATTTTACATTAATGTAGATATGTTTTGTATTTGTCAGAGAATTAATTTTTGAACAGAATGATGTGACTGAATATGGGTTTTTCATAAATAAACATGGGTTTTCAGGAATAAACAAGAAAAAAATGTGGATATTGCTTCACCACCAGGTTATACACCTGCTGTTGCTTTATTTCATGCTGTCGATTCAATTAGAGAATCTGATTCCAATCACTTGATAATTAAGAAATCATGGGATTTAGCCCTAGGTCCTCTTAAACAAGTTCCGATGAATTTATTTATAATGTACATGGCGGGTAATTCCATATCAATATTTCCTATTATGATGGTTGGTATGTTAATAATTAGACCAGTGAAAGCATTATTTACTCTTCAACAAAGTAAGTATATCAAGTTATGTTTACATACATATATTTTATAATAAATAAAAAATTAGTATCATATACATTCAAATATATATAATACATGCTAAACCTATTAATTTTAACAAAAATTAATCTGAAGTGCCTAAACAAAAATATCTATATAGAACTGAAATATTCTACACGTTTAAATGCTTCATATAGAGCAACCATAATTTAATTAAAATAAATGTAATCAAGTAAATTAAAATAAATTGTTACAAGCAGTTATGCTCATCATAAAAATAATTGTTTTTAGCATTTAAAGTAATAGAAGGAACTCATGCTTTTGGACAGAAGTTTGTGTACTTTCTGGGACAATTGGTAAATATTGCGTTAGCATTATACAAATGTCAATCGATGGGATTACTTCCAACACATGCATCCGATTGGTTAGCATTTGTAGAACCACAAGCACGGTTAGAATATTCTAGTGGTGGATTTATATATGTATGACGTAAGATATAATTATTTAAAGATGTAATATGTACATTTAAAGTAAATAATTGCTGTAAATTTAGATACATTTTATTTTATATGTGAATTATAAATTCACTCATTACATAAAATGTTTTATTAAAATCAAACCAAATCAAATTGTGTTACATGTTTATATATATAAACGTATATGTACAATAAACTGGATTAAAACTTATTCCACAAACGTAATAGTATTATTAGATAAATCATTAATTATTTTTTTTTATATTCATCTGTAATTTCCTTTATTCGTTCTATTATCTTCTTAGGCTCATCTATACGAGGTATCTGTAATAAATCAACATTTATATTTATTAAATATGAGTTTTACTATATGATGGAGAAAGATACATTAAATTATATTAAGTTAAAGTATATTGAGAAATGACAATTTTAAAACATACCTCATAGTTTTGACTTATATATATACCAGCATAAATCCCAATGCTTAAGGTTATCTAAAAAAGATATTAGTATTACATATTTCTATTCAATAATACCACTATTTACAAAATAGACATTTAGATGTACCAAAAATTTAAACATTTTCAATTGATTATTGCTTTTTACTTTTTAGTTAACTTTTAAAATCAAAATAAGCTTTATATGAAAACGAAGTTTCTTCCTTTCTTCAAGGTGCTCTTATTAACGTTTTGTACAATAGTGCAATTTATGCAGAATCACTCATTTACAATAAAATTCTTATGCTTTGATTACGTTTGGGTAACAACAGGTTATCTACAATAGTTAAAAGTTTATACTCTTGTCTAGTAATTAATTCTTATAACACTTTTTATATTAAGCTTTTTAAAAGTTTTTTTCAAATCAAATGGCTTTGCTGAAATTCCTCAAATCTATGTAGTTAAATATAATGTATATTGCAAAAGCAACACTTTCGTTGCATTGCACGGTATATATACATATTTATATACGTATATATATATATATATATATGTTGTACTTCCCTCTTGATCGATACCGCAAGCGGGAATATTTGAATTACTGTAATAATTGACTATTGTTTTCGAAACATTGATGTTTTAATTAGTTAAACTGTTGTAACAATTATATATAATATATTTGTATTATAAGTTATTTACATTATTTAGATTAAATAAATGACAACAAATGTAAAATACATATATTTTTATTACAATATATACATATAGTATGTACTTCGAAAATATTAATAGTATTATACTCACTTAAAAATTTTATATATTAACTGGAAATATATTGTGCTAAAATAAAAGATGTCTATTTCTTGTAATTCATAGTGAAGATATATGTAATTGAAAGTTAAATTAAGTTATATTATTTTGAAGTTGTTATAAATATATTATTGAAGTGTTAGGTGTATCTACGTAGTTTGAGAGTAAAAAAATGTAGAATGGTTGTAAGATATTCACTTTGTTTCATGAATGAATAACATCTTATTAACACTTACAATTAGGCAGGAACACATTAATGTACCGGAAATAATTGTAAGAGAAAGCAGGACAGATCTAAGATTTCAAATATAATATGTACATGTATATACACACCGTCTTATGTGGGTCCAGGTAGATATCTAGGTCATTTTTTATATTTTTTAATTTTAACCGATGTAGTAGTAACAATTCCTTAGAAATTTAATGTTTATTTTGGTAGAAGTGTTTTATCTAATAAATACAAATCGTAATGTGGCAGATAATAACCCAAAGCACATTGCCCGTGTCGTAAAACGGTATTTGGAAGACCAAAAACTTGATGTTACAAAGTAATTTGCTGATTCTCGGAATTTAAACTCAACACAGATGTCTTAGATCGACGCAGACAAGTACATAGAACAGGACAGGATAAAAAAAATATGAGCGATTTATATGTGTCAGTGATAGAACCCTATATATTTCAATCTAAGCTTCAGACGTATGAAATATACAATAAATATTCAAATAGTTTCTTTGCGTCAAAATATACATATGCTTATAGCATTAAATTAAATGACGTGCGTGAATATACTGCCGCCAAAGTTTCAGATTGCTTTCAAATATGATCAATTTAATCACGACAATCGTGTCTCATTGTAATCTAACCCCAATACAATTTCAAAATGTTTTATATAACACAAACAGTATATACACAAAAATTTTCTATGGTAACTAACTTCTTAATTTAATAAACAATATGCTGCGGTGAATTTCTAACCATCGCATCCTTAAAGGGTGTAAATAAAATTTGAGCCGAGTAAAATGTGGCTCTCTGTACCGGTATCTCCGTACGACCAGTTGTGAAACGATGGAGGGAGATCAGCTTGTATGATCGGTCTAGCAAACTCACTGCTGTGCCGGTAGGTATTCCGCTTTAGTACGCCGTCAAACTAACATCATTTTGTAATCCAGTGTATGCACGTGAATTCCTCTCTTTAAGTACTATTTATTCGATCGAGTAATATTCACCAGGTTTTCGTACGGATTTCGTTTCGGGTTTTCGTCGTTCGGGTTTTTATACGGTGTTGAACGGTTCGGTTACGATCGATCGGTTTGCCCGCGAACGTACGAATCTTCGTTCTGAAAAATCAGCATCGCGACTTTCTTGTTACGCGATACTGGAGAAAAGTAACTCCTTTCTATCTGAATACATTCCGTAATACACCCAGTGTACATAAACGATTAACGTACACGTTTGCCGACCGGCCGCGTATTTTCTGCAAGTTAGTCGTACATGCCCGCGGGGTAGAAGTGAAATTTTCTGTGACATTGAGAATTTCAAACAAAGTCATCAGGTTGATTCATTTCGGGGTCACAGTCGCGGGAATATCATCGTCGCATGTGTACGTTCAAGTCAGTGGTCGATGTTACGATTATCAACAAAGGGAAATAAGTTCGAACATGTCAGCTACTATTTCGAAAATACCGGCAACCAGTGCTGGGAATGGGATCGATGTAATTTGCGATAAAGATCGTGTAAGTACTGTATTGTTTTATAACGTGAACGTAGAGTGTCGTTCGTTTGGTGTGACGATAATGATATATTCGAGTAATTTTAATGTATGAACCGGAGTTAAAAGACTGACTATGTACGAAAGCTGTAAAAAGAGGATTTAGATATAGCGTGATATTTAAGATCACTTATTGATATTTGGCATTTATATTTGGCGTGGCAATAAATTTGTTATAAATGTTTTCACTTAATAAACTTTTCTCCTATTTGGTAATATTTCAATGTAGATGTTATGTAACATGTTATGTACAAGTGTACATTATACGTACATTAGTTTTATAAAAATAGAAGCTAATTTTAGATATACATGCCCTAACCAGATTCAACGTAAAATGATTACTATGCTACAGATGTTAGCTAAGTGTAAAGAGGAATTAATTTAGTATTGAATAATTATGCGTAAACGTTTATTGAATACACTTCTTACGCATCGTAGATACACAGTAATTAACAGGATTTATAAGACTTATATATCACTTTCATACGTTGTCACGAACAACGCAATAATTGACTTCATCCTCCACTATTACACGTATTAATGATATTCTCTTTTGTAGATAATAATTTTAAATCGACGATTCTCATAAAAATGTATTGCCTTGATGAAAATCAGAAATTTAATGAAATGGATTGAGCAAAGTATATTAACGTGTCATTTCCGTTGTTTCATTGTAAATTATGCTTTCTTGAATAATAAATTTCTGCGGTAGGAGAATGGCAGCCAGATTGCTTTCCCCCACTAAGTATTCTCACAAATACCGATTTTCGTTTACTTCGATGACGATAAAACATTCCCAGACGTTTTATTTTATAAGAAATATAGAGAATGTCATTTTTATGATACATAAATTTTTTTATTTCAGACTAGAACGACATTAAATGGCTAAATTTTTTTAAGCTATGTATTTTTAATTTTTTAAACCAGCTTGTTTGCTTACATATACTTATTCGTTAAATTTTAGCAATGCATAATTGATAACGAATGAACTTTATTCCCATTCATTTTCTAATATCTGGTAAAAAGAATCACGTGACAGACACATTTATCTCGTCAAGGATTAATTCATCCTTAAGCGCAACATTATTGAGAGGTACAAATAAAATAATTTATAGTTTTATTAAGATAAAAAAGATATATCACAATAATACATACAGAGAAAATATAGAGAAGTCCGGTAAGCAAATCAAAATTACAAAAAGAAGGATTTTATAATTTGGAAAAAACTGGTATGATGATGTTATAAATATTTTAATGTTTGAACATTTTCTGAAATTGTAGAAGAGTGGTGTAAAAAGGAATATTGATTGAAAAAAAATGTTAAACAAATTCTTTAGTTTTCTTTTCATAATCACAACGTTAAAGCACAAAATCGATAATGTAAATAATCTAAAAATAGATTGTAAATGAGATGTTCCGTGAATGCAATATTGGTCCTTAGTGGGTCAAAACAATTCGGTCTTATTTTCTCTCATATGGTGGAAAGTAAGTACATCTTTTACGAGATACATGTGCCGTAAAAACTTCTATTTTTAAATATACATATATTATTATTATCCTTTCTTTGCTTGCATGCACTTCAGTATTATTATTAAATTAATTTGAAACATGGTTACATGGTTACATGGTAAAAAGTTATTTCTTAATTGTTCCAATTACAATAGTATTGTATATTATTACGTTTATTAATCTACAGTTGATTACATTTTGTGAAACTCGTACCATGCTAAGTAGAATCGATAAACGCGCTCAATGCCTTTTGTGTAAGAAATATCTCAAATGCAAAAGGATTAAACATTACCGAAGAAGAGTCATCAACGATGGATTTCTATTATGGATAACGATGGATCCTAATATCTTCGCAATAAACTAATAAAATTAATCTAATAATTGCTCCGTACATATAACAAGAGATTTAAAATAAAAGCTTAAATATCCTGTGTTATAAAAAATTGAAATATATAATTGAAATAATATAAATGAAATAATGGTAGAAGTGGGACGAGGAAGAGTCTACGTATCGAAATAAGACGAAAATTAAGATTTCATTTCTGACAAAATCGAGTTTGAAAAATATTGTCAAATATGCGTGAACTTGACTAATTCCTAACTGAGCATAAGTGGATGATTGACGGTACGTTGTTCTACTTGAAAAAATAATTCGAAAGTATAGATGGTATTCTTTAATTGAAATGAATTACAAAATATATATAAGATATCCTTAAATAAAGAAAATCAATATTTTGAAGTGCGAGCAACAAAAAGGGCTGTAAGACTGAAATTCAAGGAATATGAAAGTCTCGCGTAAAGTAAGCAACGATTGTATTAGAATGAGTTACTCCTGCATGGTTACGTCGGATGTAATAGAAAGTGTGCAACAGTGCGTGTATGATGGACTTCAACATTGAGCTAATACTGACGGTCATTGAATATTTTCTCTTAGCTATTAGTTAATAATTACGAGCCATGCACTTATCTGAAATAAGATCAGCAAAGAGATATTTAAGGTTTTGTAAAATACGTAATATCATTTCTTATAAAAAATATGAAATATATAAAAAGAGATCGCAACTATGAGCTTTCTATTTTTGTGTCGTGACGATTCAATAATTGTCTGCAAAATACATACATACACCTATTTGATAAATTTTTATCTAACACAATTTATATATTATAAATCATTTTTATTAATAATTTCTAAATAATTATCTTTAGATAAATATTTGTTACACTAAGAATAGAAAATATAAGATAAGCCTAGAAATGGTACTTGACATTCTGTTTCTATGAAAATAGAATTCGTGAAACTTAGAACGAGGTTTTATACTTGTATTGCTATCGCTGCAAAACGTTCTTTGCAGCTATAATATTTTTCGATAGACATTTTTCATAAATATTTCACAAACATTTAATACTAACATCAGTATAATCTTCGCACATAACGGTATGCATTTCTTTGTGGCAACTGGGGCATATTAACTGGTTTTGCTGTAGTTCCTTGTTCTTATGAAACTTCTTGGTGACCGCAATTTCATTGGTATTTTGACGCATACAGATACACTCTTAAGCAGGAAAATCCTAATTGTATATTTTATCTATATATTTCACTATTATATTTTATTAATATATTTTATTAT